AGGGAAAATATATTATAACTTGATTATGCTTGACTATTTTAGATACATTTAATCAAAACTTTAGTTGATTACCAGATTATTATTGTTGTTTTCATCATCTTGGACATCCTTAATTTTCATTGACCAGATGTGTTTCTCTCTCCTCATGTGTCACAGGTCTGGGAAATTTCATCTGGGGAGATGCTCCTGTCTGTTCTCTTCAATGTCGGCATCATGTCAGTGACCTTTGACCCCTGCGAGTATTTCCTGTTCTGCGGAGGTAGTGACGGCAATATTTTTCAGGTGTCTCTCTGCAGCACGGTAAGCACTTTAGACATTTCCTTATCAATGGCATTTATCCTGAAAGCAGGTCTGATGAGACCTTTGTAATAGAGTTTTTTCGTCACCGTTGTGAAGATGTTTATGAGACGTTTAATTGGCCGATAGCACATGAAGCAGCCTGTTGAGGTTTCATAAGCGGTAATGCACCCTGTCTTATCTTCACTGCATTAGACGGACAAGATTAGGTCATTTTAACTGGACTTCTGCTTGGCAGTGATTAGATAAAAATAGTGTCAATCATTTTCTTTTCTTTCACATAGTCCTCAGTGTAAATAGTCAATTTCAATTCCTGGTGTGAAGCGTTTATATGCTGATCTTTGTGATCCTCTGTCCTGATCCTTCATATGTCTCCTCAGCACTGCTGAGAACTGAAGTGAGTGCTTTTTTATTTTTCTAGAGAGCTGTCCATTTCAGTCCAGGTCAGGGCATCTTAGAGAAAAGCACTCGGTGCTGAAAGGCAAAAATGGATGTGAAATCAATGTGTTTCCTCACATTCTTACCTCTCTTCACCTTTACACTCATCTCAAAGGGAATTTCAGATGAAACGTATGCAGGTGTCATGGCCATTGTCAGTTTCACTTAAAGCCATTGTAGTTTTGCTGGATCGTTGGAAGTAGTTTATTCCCCAGCAGGTACTTTTGGCTTTGAGAAGATATGAGGCTCAACCAGCGGAAACATCTGTTTACAGAGAACATTGGTATCGGGAATTTTGTTTTTGGAAATTATTGAATTTTAAGGAGATCACAGAAAAATGCATTTACTCATCATCGTGTTTTCAAACCTGTATGACTTTGTTTCTTCTATGAAATGCAAGGAGATGTTTAGCAGAATGCTCATGCTGTTTTTTCCCCATGTAAAGTTAATCTGACAGCATTGCATTCAATCCTCCACCAATGCTGTCACTGGTTAGCCTCTGGTCTGTCTGTGCACGTTCATGTGTTTTGGAGGAGGTGTGGCTTTGGAGAGCGATTTGCATGGAGGGTGGGATATTGTGCTTTCAAAGCTAGCTTGCTATTGCTACCCTACGTTTAATGTACTGCATGAAAAAATGATTATTCATTTTGAAAATTACTATAATCTACTTTTAATAGAAATTAGCATGCACAATTAAATAGGGATGCACCGAATTTCACTGGACAAAATACATTGATCTCTGTGCACAGGCGGTTGAGAGACAGGTCCGAAGGGACTGTCTGCAAAGTGCAAAACCCAAAAAGCATTACTACAAAAATATTCAATAACTTCACTGTAACACACTGTAGTTTCACCAAATTCAGTTCACACATCAGTGCTCTCCTGCTGGTTATAGTACAACACTGAAAAATTGTGCTACTTTCAATAAAAAATTCAGTGTGTGGTTATTTTATTGGTTTGTAGTTTTTCAGTTTCATAAAATTAAAAAGCCTGATATTAATACAATCAATTATACAAAAAGTATTTTTAAATTTTTTTTTTAATAATTCATTTTCGGTTTTCGGCCAAGTACATCCTGAATTTTCCGTTTCGGCTCTGAATTTTCATTTCGGTGCATCCTTACAATTAAATAAAAAAAATATATATAAAATATAATAAATTAAAAAAGATTTTTGGCCAATAACCAATATGGTACTAGTATACCATACAACCTTAAGCCCAGAACACATCAAGCTAACGTTCGGCCATCAGGAAATGTTGGGTGGTTTTTGAGCATCGGTCGGCTTTAGTTTTTTCAGTGTGTTCTGTGTTTGCTCTAGTCAGACGGCGTCAGCTGTTTTTCATCCAATTCTGCATGTCGAATATGTCGAGAAAGAGAACTCCGATTGGCTATTCAGCTTAGTGAATGAGCACATGAGAGAGGAAAAAAAACGGATATGACGAAAACAAACCAATGACAGAGTAAAGAGGGAATCCACAGACACTTGTTGTCATTGTATCCATTTCTTTCTTTCTTTATCCACAAGAAGACGACCAAGGGCTGACAATGCTAGTTCCATTTGCAACTTAGTAGACATGATTGAAAAAAGCTACACAAATCCGTCAGTAAAGAGTATGGCTGGTGTAAACAATGGTGCTGCTTGCTTTGTATATCCACAGTTCCAGCTCTTCCGGTTTCCTTGTTTGATTGCTGAATACAGACTACTGCCACCTGCTGGTGTGGGAGAGTTATGTTCTCTCACGCTAGTTGGCCGTCAGGTGTAGTCTGTCCGGTGTGCTCTAGTGCAACTTTTTTTGCCTTGACGAGCTTTCCTCAGTGCTAGTTCTTTGGCGTTGGTTTGGTGTGTCCCTATCCTAAGATTTTTGCCTTGTGAACAATGGAGCATTTTCACATGTGATGACTGTGATGATGCATTTCCACAGTTATTAACATCGTATATCTAGCAAAGTCTTTTATATTTTCATTTAAAAAAAAATCATGTACATTTATAACACTATAATTTGTGTTATATTACCTTAGCGTTAAATTACAGAAAACTAGTTAAAGGGATAGTTCACCCAAAAATGAAAATTTGATGTTTATTTGCTTACCCCCAGGGCATCCAAGATGTAGGTGACTTTGTTTCTTCAGTAGAACACAAACGAAGATTTTTAACTCAAGCCATTGCAGTCTGTCAGTCATATAATGGCAGTCAATGGGCTCCACGGCTTTGAGAGTAAAAAAAACATACACAGACAAAACCAAATTAAACCCTGCGGCTCGTGATGATACAGTGAGGTCTTAAGACACGAAACAATCGGTCTGTGCAAGAAACTGAACAGTATTTATATCATTTTTACCTCTGATCCACCGCAATGTCCAACTGTACTGAGTGCGTTCACAACATCCGGCGCATGACGTCAAATACATACGGTTGGGCAAAAAATTCCACGTTGTCTGATGATATATCAAAATCGTCTTCCATTGTGATGACCTGTACTTCTAAATATCTTTAGATCATCGCAGTGCCAGTGAACACGTACGCAATCTGTCTGCACTGTGTAAATAATGAGTGAAGTATACGCGCGACAGATTGCTTCCGCACTAGTGTTAATTTTGACAGCAAATTTTTATTTAGTTTTAGTCATAGTCTTTTGACTAAAATGCCATTTAGTTTTAGTCATATTTTAGTCATCTGAATTGTTTTTAGTTTTTTTGTCATTCAAAAAGAGTTTTAGTTCGTTTTCGTCTCGTCGTCGCCGGTGAAAAAAATGTCGTTGACGACAATTATGATGAAAATTATTCGTCAATGAAATTATCACTGTTCAGCACATGCGTCTACTATCATAGATATGTATAGATGCCCTATTCGACCGCTCCAGATACGTTGACGCATCCGCCATTTTGGAACGTATCGCGGCCCATAGAAACAGTCACTAATGAGGCATCTACTTATATATATCTATGTCTACTATGCCAGAGCAGGTACACGTCACGCGCAGGATGTTGTGAACGAGCTCAGGACAGTTGGACATTGCAGTGGATCAGAAGTAAAAAATGATATAAATACTGTTCAGTTTCTTGCACAGACTGATCGTTTTGTGTCTTAAGACCTCAATGTATCATCACGAGCCGCATGGTTTAATTTGGTTTTGTCTGTGTATGTTTTTTTTACTCTCAAAGTCGCGGAGCCCATTGGCTGCCATTATATGACTGACAGACTGCAACGGTTCAAGTTAAAAATCTTTGTTTGTGTTCTACTGAAGAAACAAAGTCACCTACATCTTGGATGCTCTGGGGGTAAGCAGATAAACATCAAATTTTCGTTTTTGGGTGAAATATCCCTTTAACACTGCTGCACAAATGTTTCTAATACAACAGCTGAGGGAGTGACGATAAATTTGACAGCTTTCTCTCTTCCAGCCAATGTGATCAGTCTCTAGATATTTTTTTCTTCTTTTGTAAGGTCATAGAAACACGTTTTCTTTTTCTTTTGCTATTGAAGCAAAAGTGAAATACAAAAACGTACATTTGTCGTAGTTTCTGTTCCCCACTATAGAAGTTTACATGACTACGTTCTGCTTCTGAGAACCCTGGAAATGAGAAAAGTGTCCACAAAGCTTGAAAACTACCTTAAATGATAAGAAGAAAAATTCGGAAGACCTAACATTTTCTGGTCAGCACTTAATAAAAAGATTAATCTTATAGCTCTCACCATATGATGATTAAAGTGTTCCTGAGCTCATATTGAGAAACTGCTAATCTAACAGGAGATGCTTGAGGCAGAATTTTTTATGAATAAACATGCTTCTTCTTGAGGCAGTGTTTTACTACTGAAGATTTATTTTTTCTTTTTGTTTGAATGCATGTTTTAATTCAGTGTGTGTGAGAGAGAGAGAGACAGCATGTGTTTCTACATGTGTTTCTAAACGCCTTTAAACTGAGGTGAAACTGTGCGATTCATTCCCAATCTGTCCAGATACATTCATTATCATCATTCTTAAACATTAATCAGGGCATTAATGAGCTGGTAATGGTGTGCTTTCTTAGCCTCTCGGTTTTTCATTCTGCTCCTCGCGTCTGGAATCTCAGCCAGCCTTTTTAGTCTGCAGGGTTTCCTGATTTATTTATTTTAAAACCTTTCAAGATGTTCAAAGGCTATTCATTGATAGACTCATATGTCTTTGACTTCTAAAGCAGGTTTTCACTTAATAATTTGGTCTACTGTCTTAAAGTTGATCTAACAGTAAGATTAATTGGTGGGAAATGTAAAGAGGCTTGGAACGTGGCGTCCTGACTTCTTTCCAAAACATTGGCCTCGATCTTTGCGTTATGATTGGTTTAGATGTTTCCCTTTGAACAAAATACAATCACCTGCCAGTAACATTTGTGGAAAACAAAAAATTACTCCTCAGGACTAGATGCCTTTATAGTGTTCGGTCATTAGATTTCATGTCAAAAATCGTTATTTATTATGCAGTTGTGACGTTATACACTTCTGTTAAGCTTCTCTTCTCAGTGCAGCAGTTTCATTTACCTCTTCACCCTGCTGAAAATGCTTCCTCATCTCTGTTTCTTTCCTGTTGTTGTTTGGATTGTCTCGTCAGTGATGAACGAGGGTTGAATTTGTCATATTTAGATAGAAAAAGGCTTTCTGACAGGAACGCTTAGAACTCCCTGCCCACTTGAAGACGAAAGACAGAGAGGGAAAATAAAAAGACGCAAAGAGAAAACTACAGAGCGAGAAAGTTTGTTACTGCTGAAGGTTTTTAAAATCTAATCCTGTCAAGGCTGTCTGACGTCTGTTTAACTTAAACTGTTGCTCTGGACAGCCCTGCTGTATACGGACGCTTGATTGTAGAGGTTATACTTGCTTAGAGTTGATTTTTCCTATCAAGGATATAGATTTAAAGGAACGGCTCAAACAAAAAAAATCCTGTCATTATTTACTCACCCTCACGTTGTTTCAAACTCAAATGGCTTTCTTTCCAAATGAAAAATTTGAAATGCTGATCCCTCTTTGCCATGCAGTTAAAGCGAATGGGGACTCACAAACTATCAAGCTTCGAAAAGGGGAAAAAAGCACCACAGAATGGTCATATATATATATATATATATATATATATATATATACTGTATAAAAATATACATATAGTGTTTTAGTTATTTGTAGCCACATTATATTAAATTAAAACGAGGGAGCAAATTACTGCAACATAGCCACAATTTAACTAAAACGAGGGAACAAATTAATAAATTGTGGCCACAAATGAAAACGTTTTCATTTCAATTCAGTCCAAAAATAAATAAATAAAAATCTGGTTTACAAAAAATATTGAGCAGCACAACTGTTTTCAGCACTGATAATAATACGAACCGTTGTTTATAACTGAGCACCAATAATAAGTAAGGGATAATGTACTTCCAGTCGGTTGTTATTGCAGAATAAGGAATAAGGAATAAGTCTTGTGGAGGGTTATTTAGTCTTAAGTCTTAAGGGGGTTATTTAGCGATAACAACCGGCTGAATGTACATTATCCCGCTTATCACACGGATACTTGCCACATAAGTAAATAATTAGACACGAAATATTGATTTGAGATAAAATATTTGAACGCAAAGCTTCCATGAACACAGCAGTTGCGAGCAAGCGGCAAGTTCAAACTAGATGGACATTTAAGGGAAACGGTGCAGACATAACCACTTATTACACAACATTTCACCACATAATTAATTAAGGTGATAAAAGATATTTATTTAAGACAAAACTGTTTTAAAATCTTACCAGTTTGTTAGTTATCTTATAATCCATTACAGTATTGACCAGACGAAACCAGCAGTTCAATTCCAGGCTACAGCAAAATCACATTGTGCAGAGGAGTCATCTGGTTCCTGTGGTCTTGTCCCTTTGGTCGTCTGAGACAAGGTCTTTACAGGGGATCTGTATCTGGGGCTCATCTAGTTGTACTGGTCTCCGCTGTCTTTCAGGGCTGTGGAGGTCCTTTCTAGGTGCTGATCCACCATCTGGTCTGAATACGTACTGGATCCGGGTGACTGCAG